AGAAAGAAAGGAGAGGCTGCAGGGGAGAAAGAGAGGCGGAACACGGCCTGCTGCTGGTTTGCGGAGCGCAGAACAGCGCCCCCCAGCGGCAGCGCCGCGTAATGGCAGCTAGATCACCTCCAGCCGGTTCTGCTTACAGAAGTCTCACCTGCCGGACATTCCACTGTGATTCCACTTAGATAACCTGAATGCGAGAAAAGAACAGGCATGTGCTGCTCACTCTTAATAAAAATCCGACGATATCGATCGTGGTAAAACATGATCCGTCCATCCATTTTCTATCCCACCTACCGTCAAGTAGGGTTGCCTGTTTCTGCTGTCATTCGGAAAAAACACATTGATTATTAGACAGACGCCAATCAGTTCTGCTAAACTGAAAATAATCTTCAATTTGTGGAACACAGTTGCACGAATAAGTTAAATTTGTCAGGGAACCCTCTCGCATACATAAATGTAAATATTAAGACAGGAAATGCGTCCTTTAACGCAGTTGCAATTCAAATAAATAGAAAAATAATACATCTAAATTAAAGAGCATCTAGTGTGTGTGGAATCATTTAATGTTGAAATTTGTGGTGGACTTTTATGTTCAAACCCAAAGCACAAATATCCAGCAGAACTTTACTCTAACCAAAATCTAAGTTTTAATCCTGCAATCATGCATCAGAGGTGAAAAACACTTTTGTATAGATCACTTTAATTTAAATAGAATAGAGCTATGAATGTTTTCTATCCACTACTAACATAATATTTCTATCCAATATCAGATTCTTCTTCATCTAAGACCCATTGGTTATGCATTAACACCTACACATAGAACATATTACAATTAAACTTAGTCATTTCCTGGTTGTTTTTAGGCATTAAGCCTGTGATGCCATTTGTATCATATTTGATACACATAGTTCATTAAATGTTTTGCATCATTTAATGGTAAAAACTTTGCTCAAAACCCTGTTGTACACAACAGATGCACCTGATAACAGCGACCAGAAGACTACAGGATGATCATTTTGACTTATTGCACAGTAATAAACTAATACTGAAAAATGATTGTATGATGTATTTTTCATATTTTGTTAAATGGCCAAATAAAGACTTTTTCTTGGATAAGGCTTTAATTGATTAAATGCAATGTCTAGGCATTTCAATTTAATTTAAGTTGTTTAGCCTCAAAAGTAAGCTTAGAAGAATCAAACCGCTGACTAGGGTTTTAACTGACACATATCCTAAATATATACACACAATTATTCTTATGAGCATTACAGCTTTTCATTCTCGAAACTTGATTTTAGTTTTCTCAAACTTTTTTCTCTAAATTACACAAGAGTAGAATTAATGGTATCAAATTGTATGTGCATTAATCATAATAATAATCAAAATAAGAACTAAAGAAAACTTTATGTTTCATCTGTAAAAGGATACAGTATATTAGAAGCTGAGGTAAGTTCTATTCACTGGCCCTGTCAAGACTTCCAAGGGTCTCATGCCCCTCAAGTCCTGGAATAAAAAGAGCCTGAGTAGTCTTCTTGTGTATCATGTTTAAGATCAGAAGCATAAGATAACATAAGATAACAGTATTCTCATTACTGGAAGAAGCTTTTACAATACTGGCAATATATATTGGACAGGAAAAAAGGGTCATCTCTAAAAATGACAAACAGACAAAAAATAAATGGAAATGGATGAAAACATACCTCTTGGATAATATTCTTTCCCTCTGTCTCAAATTCTACATACTTTATTTCAATATAAGCTAAAGCTAAAAGTCATTCATTAAATTGTAACAGCAAAATCTTAATGATATGAACATTTTTAAAAACTGTAGACGGTTAGGATAACACATTTTCTAAAAGTACTTAGTTCCGGCATCATAAATAAAAAAAGAAAGAGTAATCATGGTGTCGCACAGAGACAAATAACCACACAAACGCACATTCTCTCCAAGGGGCAATTCAAAGTGTTCAATTGACCCAACATTCATGTTTTTGGAAAGGGGGGAGGAAGCTGGAATACCTGGAGGAAACCTACACGAAGCTAATAAATATTTGAAATGACATTATTTTGTTTCCTCTTCTTCCAAACTACCAGAGATCGAAGCTTATAACTGTGTATCTACGTTCCAATCTATTCTCCAATACAAGGGATACAAAACATTTAGTTTTTCATGTTCATGAACTGTTAAACAGAAACTTACGACACATAAAACTGATTTTGGAATTTCATATTTTATTGAAGTTTGTATAAAATTGAAATACCATGGACCCACCCTTGTAATGATATCTCTATTAAATCATGTAGTAAAACTGAAAACCACTATTATTATATCACAAAATATTACAAACTAGTTTCTAAAATTCACTGAACTCAGTAGATAAAGTCACACGTAGCAGAGCACAGTGGCTTATTCATAAACAACAAACCATTTTCAACCGTTTCCTTCCTGTAAACAAATACAGTAAAGATATGCAGAAAACCCACAAACACATCCTTTTAGAAATTCCTTAAATATCTCATCATATGTGTCTTGTGGAATGTTTTTGACACAACCGACTTTTCAATGTTTCTTGTTAAAGCACAAGTTAGGGAGGTTGCTTCCTGGCAAAAAACTAATCTATTCCGATCATACAGTGGCATTACCTCCCTTTTCATAACAACGTGCTGTTTTTGCTAATGTCAATAGATACTCACTGAGGTTAGAATGGCTCAAGGTATTTTTGAATAGTTTTTCTGTGAATGACTCTGTTTTCATGACACAGAGCCAAACAGATTTTTTAAAAAGAACACTTAAATATCACATTTATTTTTCAGGATGACTTTGAGCTTCCTTTGATCAAAGATATGCTGAACTGAAAATACTGCAAAAATATATGATGATTTCTGGATCTTTCTCGATTTCAGGTTGAAGAGCTGGACTGCTGATACCTGAGCTGGGTCGGCCTCCAGGGTAAATTCATTTTAGAACCTTTACTGTTTTATCTTCTAAAGTACTTTAAGCATTTCTTTCAATATGTTTCTTAAGTTTATTCTAAATATTCTCTATGGGACCATAGTTGATGGAGACAGCATATTCACACAGGTGGCGTTTAATTGATTTTATCACCAAACTGGTTTATCAATATTGCCAGTCGGCCTTCTTTAAAGCTGTAGAAAACTATTTGTCATCATGAACGGTCTATATTATTTGGAAGTGGTGTTTATGAATGCCATCCTGTGGAGTGAAGTAGATGGTGTTCACAAACAGACTAACAGTAATATCAGGGACTAGGGGAACTAGGAAAAAGTATATGATGTTCATCTGCTGCTACTGAAGTTCAGTTTCTCCTGAAAAAATGTTAATGGGCTTCTGATTTTTCACATTGGAGTCACAAATGTTTGGTTGGTCTTATTGTCTCCTAAATTCCTCCCCAGCCCCCTGGTATAACAACTTCACTTCATGGCCCAGATCCTGTGTTTGTATGGGAAAACAAACAAAAATAATAGGTTCCGAGCTAGTTCTTCAAACCTGGTGTGAACCAACACTGCAAACACTTAGGTGGAAATCATCAGAAGTTAGAGGCAGTAAATAGTAGGATGGTGTGAACTTCCATTTGTTGCATATTGGAGTGTTTCAATTTGCAGACGGTCAGGTAAACCTTTGGGGGGTAATCGGAGGGGACCTGGTTGGTTGTGTAATAGAACTGGTATATTTTTGGGAAGTGGTGTAGGCTGGTGGCTCTTCAAGTTCAGAAGGAGATCCAATACTGTTGCTGGAGGAGTCGTCCATGGAGGGATCCTGCAAAAGAGGAGGACATCACCCTAAGCACATTTCTTACCTCAAGATGCCTTTTGTGAAATGTGTGTTGGAATGTATGTTGTAATGCCCAAAACAAAGATTGTTGCAATGTTTTGTATTGAAAAAAAAACAGAATGCTGCTGATTTACAGGTAAAACACAGAACATCTTAAATAAATCAATTGCAATGATTCATGTTTTATGTGATTTTGTGTCAAATAAACATTTAAATGTTACTTCACCAGTCGAAAGACACAATGAACAGAGGATAGTGACATATTGATATAAGTATTGAATCAAGAGAGCTACATTTAACTTAGAAAATTTGATTTGCAGTTAGGAATGTTTGGGATATTTGAATTAAATTCCTAATTCCATAAGATTATTCTTCGATCCATTATCTATACTGCATATTCCTGCTGGGATTGTGGGGGGTGGGGGTGTGGAACCTACCCGTTAGATTAAATCCTTGATATTTTCACATTGTGACTAATCTTATCCATGTGTGTTGTTTCATCATTTCTTCTCAAAAGATTTAAACAATCCCTCACTAAAGCAACAGGAGACTGCATTTACAAATGGAAGCACAGACAGCAGCACTCTCTTATGATCTGCAATGCTTTTGATATCCATTTCTAGCAACCTGCAACCTGCAGGGATCTATTAAGGAGAACACTTGTTGATTACAATTAGGGAACACAAATGATAAATTATTTGTAAATGGAAATTAGAGTGGTGATGAAAGATGTACCTTTCGTTGGAGGATATAAAGCGAAGTAACGGCATTTATCCCATTATGGTCTGCCGTTTTTGGAAGCACATCATCTGTGAGAAAGCACAATACATTTGAATAATATTCACACACACAGCCACATTATGAAAAGCAAACGATTTATAAATCAGTGCAGCTGATTGGGCTTTCTGAAACCCATTTAATGCCCATAATTAAACTACAAATCCCAAATGGTAGAAGAAAAATGTAGATGCTCCCGCCAATGGTTGACCAGTCCATCACAGGGCCACAGAGTACCCAAAGAGAACCCACGCAGACATAGGGAGAACATGCAAACTCCACACAAATAGTCCCGTCCTCTGAGGACTTGAACTAGGAACCCTCTTGCTTTGGGGCGACGGTGCTAAACACCACACCACCATGCCGCCCTGCTTGTGGTGTTACGATGAACACATCACTGTGAAGATGATCTGTGCCCAGGCAATCAAACTGTAAGCTCAGAGTTATGTTCCCTGGTTACAAACAATCCCCTGTGGGCATCTGTCCTGCCACAGCCACTGGGTTCTAAACCAGTGTCTTTTGAGCCTTTTATGAACCTCTACTGTAAGCCTCTCCCAGATGCCCGAGCTGCCTACCCTATCTCCAAGGGAGAGCCCAGACACCCCATAAAGAAAACTCATTTTGACTGCTTGTAACTGTCATCTCGTTCTTTCGGTCACTACCCACAACTTGTGAGCGTAGTTGAGGGTAGGAACGCAGATCAGTGATCAGTAAATCGCATTTAGCTGCAAATTGCTCCAAGTGAGAGCAGGAGATCCTGGCCCAATGAAGCCAAAAGAACCATATCATCTGCAGAAAGCAGAGATCCAATCCTGAGGCCACCAAATCGGAACCCATTAACGCCTTGGCTGTGCCTGGAAATTCCGTTGAACAGAATCTGTGATGGAGGGGAGCCTTGATGGAGTCCAACCTACACTGTTGAACAGCTGGCTTTAGGACACTGTTTGACTGTATTGCCTCATCCCCACCTGCCATTGGAGCACTGCTAAGTTTTTCTGCCACCAATATACTTCATCATTGGCCGATTTTCAAAGGTGTGCCACCCCATTCCCCCAAGAAAGCTCCACTCTTCCAGAGAAACTGCTCACTTGTAAGCGATGTATAGCCCTGGAAATACTCTCAGATCGGTGGTTTCCAGTTTACATCTCAGGTATTGGCAAAGTCTTCTTTGGCACTTTGGCTAAGGTTCCCTAGGTTTGGGTCCCTACCCTCACACCCTACGGTACTCTACCCAACCCCCGAATGAATCAGGAGCTTAAGGCTGATGAAAATAAAAAAAGAAATCTAGTAGTACTATCTGAGAGTTGTGCTGAATGTGAGGGTCTGGACTAAAAACATATTCAGCATGGAGCCAGGAGCCCTTGTCAGAAGCAGTAAGCTGAGGTTTGTTTAAGTAAGTTTAGGTTAGGGTGATAAACATTCTCCTTCAATCGTAACAGTCGCACAAGCTTCAGACAGGTTTCATCCTCCACCTCAGTCATACATCTTTAAGACCCCCCCCACTGAGTGACCAATTGTCCTCTGCATGTTGTAAAAGAATATTAATACTTTACCATCATAATTGATGGGTATGTGATGAGAGTGGTCACGACTCCTGGACAGATGCTTTCTGGTTTGCTGTCTTGACCTAAGATCACAAAATGGGGAAATGCCTCAGGTTTGTTTATTTCAAGTGATGAAAGGCGTTTTTAAAGTATGCCTTTGTCCAATTATGGGTTGACTTCAAAACCAAATTTCATGTCTTACTTTTTCGACGGAGTCCAGCAGGCGCACACTGTCCCCAATGTGATGAGAAGAAAGATTCCACCAGTGGAAAGAATGATGTAGAGGGAGCTTCTTCCTGAAAACGCATGCAAAATTAAACTTAAAGAAAAGCACAATAAAAATGTGTATAAATAAGTACAAATCTATTGATCTAAATATACATGTCAGAACACTGACTCAGGCTGAGTAATAGAAAGGGTGTGGTGGTTTTAAAAGATAGCTATGATTCTGAAGCAAAACTCAATTGTTGTTTTCAAAATGCTTCCACTTAGCCTATGCCAGTATGTGTTGGATGATGTGATTAAGCAGTGGGTGCACTAGACAAGTCATCACTTACTGTACACGGACAGCCTGATAGGCAGGCTTGTCATATTCCCCACAGGGTTCTCCACAACGCAGCTGTAGACATCATCGTCCGCCATCAATACCCGTGTGATGGTCAGCAGCTTCTGGTCAGGTGACAGCACAAACCTTGTCCGATTTGTCAGGGGCTTTCCACCTTTTAACCACCTGTATGTTGTCCTGGTCCCATTGTCGTGGGAGCAGTTGAATATGACGTTTTCACTGAGTTCCAGTACTGAAGAAGACTCCATGTCGATATAGGGCCTGGATATAAGCTCTGAGTAAAGTTAAAAGTAGGGGGAAAAAAGGATTTTCAGTCGCAAATAGACACAAAAATACAATGCAATAGGACTTGGTAAAATGTCATTGATGAAAATGAATTGAATAAACTCAAAGAACCCCAAACCTGGGGATATTCTTATCAACAAAGTTACTTAACCAAACTTACTTGGAGTACGCTTGCTTTAAAATATGTTTCCAAAATTCAAAGTCAATATTCTATTATTAATTTATCTAAATAAAAAGGTAACGCTTATGTTTTGAGGGTATTTTGTTGTCATTGTGACGTATTCCCACCTTTTATAGAGAAAAGAAATAACTGGATGTAAAGATTTAGTTCTGCTATAACTATAACTATAGCTAACTATAGTTATAGGACATTTCAATCTCTCTAAAATACTCTAAAGATGAGGTAACGGGCACTGAAATGTCAGATATTTGCATCCTAAAGCTAGTGGTCACAGATTGGTCTGGGTTCTGTCCCATCTGCTATGGAACAAGAAAGATGCCAGCACAGCCAAATGATTAATAGAATATGGTGAACTCATAAGATTCCCCGCATAGCTCTTCCCACCTACAACCAGAACAGAAGCCTCAATAGCCGATGAGAAAATACCTCTCTGGATATGTAATTATGTAATGCCTTTGAAACTGCATAAGCAAGCTGAATTCACAGTGTACACAAACCTTCAACAATTCAGCTTTGTGAGAAATTATGTTTTTACACTCTATGGAAAATCTCACCATTTAATAAAAATGTTTTAAGGGAATCCTTTCAAAATCACATCAACCAAAATGTCACCCAAAGTAGAAAGTAGAACAGACATAACATTTTTAAAGTAAATCATTTTGAAAATTCATGAAAATGATCAGCTCATAAACTTCTCTGTGAGCACATGACTGGCTCTCCAGATGTGGATGTGCCATAGGTCGCAACATGTCCCTATACTTTGTACAGAAATTCAATTTTGGATGTGTTTTACTACACAACACCCTCTCACGTTGCCTCGGTCCATTTTGAAGGGACTTTGGCCCAGATAAAACATCTCTAGAGAATGCAAGATCAAATCAACAGACAGCTTGTTGTAGAGCCTTAGAGTGGATTTGTGGATTGGAATTTAACATAAAATTGGATTTATCATAAAATGATTTGAATATTTTTATGTTAAATTCACATTTTTGGCTTTTTCCTTCTTTTCTTATGAGAAGATGTGTTCTTTGCATACTCGCTCCTGTTACTGACCTGTTATCAAGTTAGCAAAATATGTGTTATGATTATCTGGACTTTTGCTGTTCCTGGCCAAGCTTTGGGGAGATGGGTTCCAGCACCGAATTGAGGGTTAGCAAATAAGTTTTCAGTTGATTTCTTTAAGTATGAGCTGCTATAATATATATATAATAAAGGACCAGAGGTATTTAAATCAAGTCCCAACATTTGTTCAACATGGGTTATCAAAATGGAAAAAAGGCAAATATGTATTTTTAGTTGTGCATTGGTTTTTAAAACATTTGTTTCATCTAACAGCTTCACTCAGGGAAATGTAGCAGCATCTCAATCATGACTATAACTTAAAACCTGAGTCTTGTCAACAGCAGTCAAGCTTAATTTGATCTTTTACCTATGTTATGTAAAAGACTAAATGTAATATCTTAGCAGATGATTTAAGAGCATGAAATAAGTGTGAAAGCCTACAATACCATCCACGGTGAGTGTGATGCTGCCCTCTCCCGTGAAGGTATCATCTGTGATGGAGATCTCCACATCATAAACTCCGTCATCAGCGAGTCTGAGGTTGTGGAGTAGCAGAGTACCGTTCTCAAATACCAAGATGCGATCGCGATACTCTGGCCTCAAGGTCCCAATGATGTCTGTTCCAATTGACTGCACAACAGTGACGGACTTTTCCCTCTTGAGCTGCCACTTGATGACCGGGAGATCAAGGCTGAAGCTATTGTACCGAACTGAAAGAAGAGCCTCCCCTCCAACTGCTCCTTTGATGAGAGTATTGGGGATAGTCATATTCACCGCCGTCACTTCCCCTGTAACGAAACACAGACAATCCCCAGCATTGGATATTTTTACATATTTCCAGGCTTACCGAGTTCAGCCTTAGGACATCTAAATGATACCAAGTCTGTGTGAGCTCACAAGTTCGTGGATTTAGGTGAATGATGAATGTGTAATGCATCAAATCTCCGCTTTTGATCACCATTTTCCACTAAACATACCATATTAATAATGAATGCATTGTCTATTCAGGAAGTATCTTTTTAAAGTGATTAAGTAAGTTAGAAATATTTTTTAAATATTCTGCATGCTCAAAATTCACAAACTGAAAGGGAAAAAAACCTTACCAAAAAACAACATGCCAAATCAACTTTCTTGTCCATTATCTTTCATTTGTTTTGGGCTACAAACTATACCGATCACAGTCTGTACCTCCAGGAATATGGATGTGCGTTCGCTTGGTAACCACCTGTCCAAGAATGATCAGTGTTTATTATGAAATCAAGGTAAATTAATAATTAATTACTATGTTAGTAGTGTAAAATTGGGAAAAATCTACTAATTAAAGTGCAGATCACAGTCAACTGATGATGTTGTATTGTGTATCATCAATCATCATATCCTATAATATGGACAGAAAATGTATAATCTCCTGCAGGAGCTTTCTAAGCAATCTATTTAGCAAAAATGTAATACATAGTTTTCACTGTTAACTGTGCATTTTTTCCCCCTACTGGAATAATGGATAAAGTACTTCACAAAGACTAACTTCAAAACATGTGATGTAAACACCACAACACATCACCACTGTATATTCAAGCCAGATTGCATGGCAGATCCCCATTACCATGGTAACAGCTGTCAGTCTCTGGGATGGGCCAGTGTGAGCAAACAAAAGTGGGGATTGTTTGCTCAAATTTCCTTCTTGGCAGTTCATGAAAAGAACTATGGGAGAAATACAGATGCCATGCTAGCTGTGCAGAAACAGAGCAGCTCAGTGACCAACAACAATGGCAGGACAGTGATGACACGCAGTCCCAGCTGAAAACAGCTGAAAACACTAGTTCTGGTACAGCTGAAGGGATAGTTATGGTATTAATTACAAAGGGTGGACACACACAGCAAAAAACTCCACACAGTCTACAATCCAATACCCTGACACCAAATTTGTCAGGGATTTAATGAGTTTAGTTAACTGTCTTACTGTTTCAAATTGAAAGAAAATGCACAAATGATCAATACAGATATCAATACCAAGAATTACATGAAAGTTGTACTTTTCTCTTCTACACCCATTCTCTATAAAGACCTGCCTCAGTAGTTGTAGGCTGCACGCAAAATGTGATTGCAAAACATCATGAAATACTAAAGTTCCAGATTTGAGGAGTGATAAGAAGCAATGACATTTATGGATCTTTTATACTCTGATATCTGAACCAGGAAATATACAAACAAATGCATTTTTCTGATTGTAAACAGGGACATAACTTTACTTTTTTTATTTACTCTTTTAAACTAAGAGTATTTTATTGACTTTTACAGCAAATGAAAAAATAATGTTTACATACCTGAATTGAAGAAACCAAAATATATAAACAATAAAATGTTGTAAATATTTTTGGTTGTCGAAGAAATGTCCCTCTCAGCCTGCATCTTGGGTCTTAAGCTTTGTTTTGCAGCCAGAGAGTCAGCATGATTTGTGACTGGGCAGGACGGAGGACACAGTCATTCATTCAGGCTGTGCTTGGACTGAGTACATCTTGTTCTCTGAAGCCACTGTAAAGCAGGGCAAAAAAAAAGTGTGTGTTTGAATATCTGAATTTGTTATCTTTTTCATTTTGATGAAAATAAAATCAATATGTATTATTTGCTTTTGTTAAAAAGCAAATATACTGTTTCATAAGAGGCTCTGATGTCACCAGTGAGATCTTGGGTCTGGCTTGGTTTGAGATTGTGAACATTACAGATTGAAGTCGAAACAGATTTTGAAGCATACTTCCTTGTTTCCAATTAAATTATCTGAATTCTGCCTTTGTTTAACTGATACATTTATAAAAAGGTTGTTTATTTTTTAAAGATAATTTTAAGGATAGTACTATATTATAATATACAATATGTTTTCCAAGAAAATGCAGGAAAAGTTTTTCTGTTGTTTGTTATCACAGTAACTGTGAGCATTTAAATTGATGAGAGGCCCAAGAATTGATCCCTGAGGATCTCCATATTCCATTGTGTTCAGTCAAATACATGATAAACTACAGGCACAAGTCTCTTTAAGTAAAATCTGAGTAACAATTAAGATAAAAAGATGTTCAGATCAGCCAGTAATATTTTTTAATCAAACAACTTTGTCTAAATTTTAAATTTTTTTATAGCAGTGGCTTGTTGAAAGCTTATGGAAAGTTTGTATAGCATCTTGGCAACATATTGAGGGCTTCGAGTGCCGCTTTAAAATAAAATAAATTAAATAATTTTCCTTTCCTCTTACCTCTGTGATTGAGACAAGGATCCACTATTACTAATACTACTACTTCTATCCCCTTTTGAATCGGTTGTAGATGGTATCGTTTCCCTTTCTAAATTTTTTGTTATTGTTTTTGTGTTTTTTTTAGGAGACGGATTGAAGGCTAATTTCGGTGGAAGTGGCAGTTATGCAGAAGCTTGGAATGACAGATCCTGGTTCAGTGGGGAGTTCAGCCCCAGTGTCCCTGCTGGACGAGAATGATTTCCAACAGGAAATTATCCTTGTACTTGAGAGGCCAATACCCGCTGAAGACCTCTCAAACTACATCAGAAAAAATGGAGGATCCCTTGAGGAAGAGGAGGCAAAAATTAAGTAGATGCATATGGTTTGCAGTCTTTGAAAATTTCTTGGTGAATTTCTTTCTTACAAAGACTGGAACATTTCATTGGCATTAAAGGAGCCGCTCTAAGCTGGTTTAGGTCCTATTTATCAGATCGGTTTCAGTTTGTGCACGTTAACGATGATCCCTCCATGCATGCCAAAGCTAGTCAAGGAGTTCCACAAGGATCTGTGCTCGGAACAATCCTCTTTATATGCTTCCTTTAGGTAAGATTATCAGGAAACACTTCATAAACTTTCAGTGTTATACAGAGGATACTCAGTTATATCTATCAATCAAGCCAGATGAAACTCATCAGTTACCTAAGCTTCAAATGTGTCCTCAGGATGTTAAAACCTGGATGACACGTCATTTACTAAAGTTAAACTCAGATAAAAGTGAAGTTATTGTTCTAGGGCCTAAGTACCTCGGTGACGCATTATCTAGAGATATAGTTTCCAAAAGGCAGACACCGTTTACATTTAAGAGTACGCTTAAGACTTTCCTTTATGATAGAGCTTTTAGTTAGGGCTGGCTTAGGTGAGTCCACCCTTAGTTATGCTGCCATGGGCCTATATTGCCGGGGGATTTCCCATGATGATTTCCCTCGCTTCTTCTCTCTCTCCCTCTCAGTGCAAGCTCATTCCATTAATGCATTTTACTAACTGGACTTTTTCCCTTTCCCGTAGTGGTGTGCTTTCTCGTCCCTCTCCTCTCTCCTCCTATCACTTCCTGCAGGTGTTCCTGACTCTGGAGCTGTGGAGTCTGCATCTGTGGTTGGGAGTCTCTGCTACCGTTACAACTACTGTTCACAGTCCCAATCCTAATATTATTGCCGTCATTTTCTTTAACTTTACTATCAATATCCGTGCCATTTCTTATCCAGTCTTTATCAACACTACCTTTATTTTTCTGTACCTTTATGTGTTACTGTGTAAGCTGCCTCCCCCTGCTACCTCTGCTCTCTCTGTCCTTCTCTCCCTCTCTCTCTCTCTTGCCCTCTCTGTTTCTCACCCCCAACCGGTCGAGGCAAATGGCCGCCCACCCTGAGCCATGGTTCTACTCAAGGTTTCTGCCTCTTAAAAGGAAGTTTTTCCTCGCCTGTGTCGCCTAGTGCCTGCTCTTGGTGGGAATTGTTGGGCTTCTCTAAATAATTTCACAGTTGGGTCTGACCTGCTCTGTTTGGAAAGCGCTGTGAGATAACTGTTGTTGTGATTTGGCGCTATATAAATAAAATTGAATTAAATTAAATAGGAAGCAATCACATTTGTAAATTTGTTATACTCTGATATCTGAACCAGGAAACATACTAACAAATGTATTTTTTCTGCTCGTAAAAAGGGGCAGAACTTTACCTCTTTTATTTACTCTTTTTAACAAAGAGTATTTTATTTACTTTAAAGCAAATGCAAAACAATGTTACATAGATTAATTATAAATATTCAAATATAAATAGATAAACATAAATATTTTGTTTGTCGAAGAAATGTCGTCTGGGGTCTTAAGCCTTGTTTTGCAGCCACAGTCAATTGTTCAGGCTGTGCTTAGACCGAGTTCATCTTGTTCTCCGAAACACTGCAAAGCAAATTTCTGAATTCATTATTAAGGGGGGCCATGGCAAAGGCAGGCCCTGCTTACTGCTATTGTGCGTATTAACTCCGTAGCTTTCTAATGGGGCTACTTTTCTGGTAGTTCTTCCGTTACTGTCACGAATTCCGGTTACTCCTCGTGCACGGTTCAGAGGATCGTGTCCAAAATTGAAACACGCGTGGGAACTGACCTCGAGATGCCTGCTTGTATAGATCTTGCTAATCAGTCATGTCGTTTTCGAATGAGCATCAAACAACCCAAAACGCCGTCCCGTAGGAAATTAATATGACAGATGAAAAATGGGCCAATACCATATGCCACTTCCAGGCCTAATAGCTCTCACAAAACAACCTATCATTTATTTGTTCCAGTTCGTTGCACCACTTAATGAATATTGCTTGTTCCACTTGACAACAATAGTTATGACATGGAATATGCTGAGAAAATGTATTTTCATGTAAAAAAAGCTGCAAAAAAATCCTTGCAGCGCTGTATGGTAACTTTCTAAGCTTATCACACCAGCTAAATGTAACGATCTGAATATGGACCCAAGAACACCCAGAGACGGACAGTCAGTTAAACAGAGTTTATTGCCGAGAACGTGGGGCAATCCGGGGGCATGGTCAGGGGAATCGGGGTCCGGTAACAGGAGGTCCAGTAATCCAGCAAGGGACTCAGGGAAAATCCAAAAGGAGGTCCAGGTCCGGTCCAGGGTCAGAGCCAGATGAGAAGTCCAAAGGGGCAGGCAGGAACTCGGAGTCACGGGCAGGCGGTCAGGAACAGGCAGGCAGACGGATCAGGCGGGGATCAGGCAAACTCAGGAGTCGGAGGCAAAGACGGGTCGGGTTACAGGCAGGCAGAATATTTTGGGACAATCGCTGGAAGTTCTTACCGGATGGCTCGAGACATTCTGGCACTTGAGGCTGGCTGAGACGGATCGTAAGTGTGGGTGGAAACAGGTGGAAACAATGATGGTTGATTGCGGGAGGTGGATACTGAACAGGAGTGCAGACAGAGGGTGGAGCCAGCTCCAGTGCCAGGAACGTTACACCAAAATCTTTCTAAAATCATTAAAGCCCAAACGTAGCGCGTATCATTAAAACACACTCGCGGAATTGTATAGAATGAGAACACATGTTGAAATGTTTATTCATTAGTTGAAATTAGCTGACAAATTTCCATTTAAGAACGTGAAAGTTGTAAACTGTAAAATGCCATCCATCCATCCATTATCCTCCGCTTATCCGGGGTCGGGTCGCGGGGGCAGCAGCCGAAGCAGGGAAATCCAGACTTCCCTCTCCCCGGCCACTTTCGCCAGCTCCTCCGGGGGGATCCCGAGGCGTTCCCAGGCCAGCCGGGACACATAGTCCCTCCAGCGTGTCCTGGGTCTTCCTCTGGGCCTTCTCCCGGTGGGACGAGCCCGGAACACCTCCCCAGGGAGGCATCCTGATCAGATGCCCGAGCCACCTCAACTGGCTCCTCTCCACGTGGAGGAGCAGCGGCTCTACTCCGAGCCCCTCCTGGATGGCCGAGCTTCTCACCCTATCTCTAAGGGAGAGCCCAGCCACCCTGCGGAGGAAACTCATTTCGGCCGCTTGTATCCGGGAACTCGTTCTTTCGGTCACTACCCAATGTTCGTGGCCATAGACGAGGGTAGGAACATAGATCGGCCTTTAGGCTCAGCTCTCTCTTCATCACGACAGACCGGTACAGCGCCCGCATTACTGCAGACGCCGCACTGATCTGCATATCGATCTCACGCTCACTACCCCCATTTGCGAACAAGACCCCAAGATACTTGAACTCCTCCACTTGGGGAAGGACGTCCGCTCCGACCCGGAAAAGGCACTCTACCTTTTTCCGGTGAGAGACCATGGTCTCGGACTTGGAGGCACTGATCCTCATCCCAGCCGCTTCGCACTCGGCTGCGAACCACTCCAGCGAGAGCTGTAGGTCCCGACTTGATGAAGCCAACAGGACCACATCATCTGCAAAAAGCAGAGATGCGATCCTAAGGCCACCAAGACTGACACCCTCAACACCTCGGCTGTGCCTAGAAAAAAGTTATGAACAGGACCGGAGACATAGGGCAACCTTGGCGGAGTCCAACTCCCACCGGAAACGGGTCCGACTTACTACCGGCAATGCGAACCAAACTCTGACTCCGGTCGTACAGGGACCGAACAGCCCGTAACAAAGGGCCAGGTACCCGATACTCCCGGAGCACCCCCCACAGGATACCCCGAGGGACACGGTCGAACGCCTTCTCC